AAAACCTGCGGCATTGTGGGGATTGAGATGACGTAGAAAAACGGCAAAAGGGAAGGAAAAAATGCATTGTCTACATGAGTGAAATGCAACTTTATTGTACAATTGCATTTTTTTTAACCGTTTTTTCTGCAATTCCAGTTCCAATAATACGATCTCAAAAAAATTTTTTTTTTCACATTCCTTAATGTATCTCCCACTACCGCAAAAAGTTTCAACTCGGTAACTCATCATCCGGCTGAGATATAAGAGTGGCAAGTCCAAAAATCCATTTTTTTCGATTAGTCATCGATAGAAAACGAGATTTTTTAGAGAACGAAAGAAGAAAATTAAAATAGACCAATAGTACGTTTTGTGCAGAATTTAATTCTCTATCCATCTATGTGACTCACTTTTGTTTTTGTTGATTTTTTTTTGGTTCTATTTGACGAAAACAGATTTACAGACAAAGTGTAGACCCAGTTTAAAACAATCCTAGAGGGGACAAGGAACATCTTTTTTAAAAAACCAAAACGAGTAAAAGACAGCGTAAAAAATACTACAAAACTATCTAAAAATAGTTTTAGTAAACTTCTTTTAATTAGGCCGGAAGACCACAAAAGCTTTAATTACGCACTAACTGTAGACCCAATTTTTCAGAATTGTTTTGCCTTTTATTCCTCAACAACTGAAAGAAAATCAGTCGGACTGTCATAGAAAGATGCAGCGTGAAAAACTGAACAAGAATATCATCAACTAGTTCTCTGTTTCTCTTACTTTTAGGGAGAATTTTAACATATACCTCAGAATGTAGACCCAGTTTTTTTTGTGGACCCATTTTCTGCTTATATATTTTCAAGCTGCTTTCGACGGAAGCTCAGTGTCCTAAATAAGGCTCTGGACTTTGAAAGAGCACAGACTAGACCGAGAGCTTTAAGCCGATGATCTATAACAATATTCCGCAGTTTTTTAGACTCTCCAAACATGCAACCTCAGAAAAATCAGCTTTTTTATGCGGTTTTTCGAGGAGAAATGCGTATTTTGACATCTTTCGCGATTGTTTTTGGCGTACTTCGATTGCTGTGGGTACCATTAGATTATCCGAGCTCAGATCTATCTAATGATGTGTCATACATGGACTGTCGACGCTTATTCGGCACAATTTCTCTTAGGAAGTTTTTTATTGAAAACCCGAAATTGATGCTCTAATATCTCGACCAGGACGAGTCGGGTAGCGCGGATATTTTTACTACAGATTCACTGTATGATAAGGAACAAGATGTACGAATCAGATTTTCCCTGGGAGGACTTTCATTTTCTTTTATCAATTGTACAATAAAGTTGCATTTCACTCACATATATAAACGATGCATTTTTTTCCTTGCATTTCCCCTTTTTTCTACACCACCAGGATTTGTCGTTTAAGCACAGTTATTCTTTGTTTAGTTGATTTCAGTATTATTTAGTGGTTTATTTATGAAAAGACCTTGCTAACAAAAAATTATCTAAGATGCTTTAGCTATGTCTTTTATTTCAACGAACTGAGAAAACAGATCCCAGGCAAAAAATCTAGAAATAAGGTAGTACTTGAAAGATTTCTTAAGTTTCATCTCAATTACTTCCAAATCTTATGCAGATTTATGGACGTCTAATAAAATCTTTGGATCATCTTAGAGTACAAGATTGTCGACAGTTGTTGTTACAATATCTGTCTTGAAAACACCGTTCAGACAATACCGGAGTTGTTCAGTCAAACATTATGTCCATGTGACGCACTTGATAATTTTTCATTATTTTCAGTCCGAATGATGTGTGTATATACATGAGCACTGCAACAAAAACGGTGGTGCAATGCCTCACGATTCCATCGATTTTTCTTCGCTTTTTAAACTTTTTTTCAGCGAGTTTATTGGCTTTTCACCAGTTCCCAAAAATTTCATACCGGCTGATTTACCGTCCGTCCGGGTACCGATACAACTTTCCATACCAGTTTTAACTCTGGACTCACTGCTTTACTGCCTCTATGATACAACAAAATTTAGTAAGTTAGAAATATTGGAATTCGTGTCTTTAACTCATTCCTACAAAATTCTATTCCGCTTATTGTTTGGTTATAATTTTTCGTATAAATTTTATAATAGATAATAAGATATAAACCACGTCTATCATGATGAAAAAATATAGCTGTTGTTTGTTAGAGACGTTTCGTCTTTGTTCAAAAGACGTCATCAGTTGAATGTGACAATTGATAGTTGATACTGAAGGCAGGAAAATAAGAGATAACATAAAATACAAGTATGTAACTTGCGAGGGAACCTCCTGAGGTACTAAAAACCTTTTTAAATAGGACTATTTTTAAAATGTAGGCCCTCATGGGCTATGAAGAAACCCAACTTGGTTCGGGCGCAATCAGCTTTGTTGCTGCGATATCAAATTTTTACTCGAATTTTCCCCCATGGGACCTGGATTTCAAGCAAAAACGGAGTTTTGAATATCATGTTAAAAATAGTTCCATTCAAAAAGGTTTTTAGTAGCTCAAGAGGTTCCTTCGTTAGAACATAATCAGAATAAAATGGTGTCCTCTCAATTCGTCCCATAAATATTTTTCTCAGTTCGTCCCAACTAAATTTGTATATATATTTAACTCTCAATTCGTCCCGGATATTTAAAGTATAATTTTCAGCTTCTTTTTCACATCAAGGAATAATTAATTTATCATGATGAAAAGTAGAAGCACACAGTATCTTGCTATGCCTGGTAGGCTGAATATACTACAATACAGAGAACGATGCTCAGAACAGTATAATCAGTATAATTTAAAAAAGATGCGCTAAGATTTGAAAAGGATACTCAGTACCCTATATGAATGTTAGAAGATTAAGTGAATTACTATATCATACCAAAATGTTACGTTTCACAGAGACTGAAAAAGGTAATGCAGTACTAAACTACAATTGTTATCAATATACGAAAAAACGAGAAAATAAAAAAAGTAATCAATGGAGATGTCGTGATCGTAATTGTTCAAGTACAATATCATTATGCTCACAGGATTTATCAATAATCAAAAATGAAACAACTCATACATGTGCACAAGATACTAATAAATTTATTATTGATACAATTATTGGAAGAATGCAAAAACGTACACGTGAAGAAACAGCTACAATTCCTAAAATTTATTCTCAAGAGATTGTGAAAGCAAGAGTCGAAAATCCTGGCCTTCCAACTGGTAGTCTATTTCCAACACTTTCCAACATTGATGCATCGCTCTATCGTCGTCGTGCAATTAATTATCCTAAATTACCAACAACAATAAACGAAATTAGTTTAAATGGTTCATGGAAATTAGATAAAAATGGTGGTGATTTTCTACTGGTAGATGAAACATGTAAGTAACTTTATTCTTATATTCTTATATTCTCTAAAATATTGGTTTTTTTCTTACTAGATGAAACGGATCGATTGATGATTTTTGGATCACAATGGAGTATCTGCTTGTATGCTGACTAATGTTCAATTAGCTATTAAATGTGGTAGAGCTGTGAAAACAAATCCGGCTAAAAAATAAATTATTTTTTTGGTTACTCATCTGTTGTGAATAAAATATGTGAAAAATTAGTTAATCTTTCTCTGTATTGTAGTATATTCAGCCTACCAGGCCTAGCAAGATACTGTGTGCTTCTACTTTTCATCATGATAAATTAATTATTCCTTGATGTGAAAAAGAAGCTGAAAATTATACTTTAAATATCTGGGACGAATTGAGAGTTAAATATATATACAAATTTAGTTGGGACGAACTGAGAAAAATATTTATGGGACGAATTGAGAGAGACTAATTCGGGACGAATTGAGAGTAAACCGAATAAAATAGATAGAACAAAAATAAGTTTCTTTTTTCTACTATATAGCTGGACTATGTAATACGTCATCAAAATACTTTGAGGTGAAAGTTTTTTTGTGAATATATTTGTCTTTTGTTTTGTTCTGTATGAATGCCCATCAACAAGCTCTCCCTGATAGTTCTTTTTATAAAGTGTGATTCAACTGCAAGAATTTCTGGATTCCAGTTAGTGCGATGACACATGTCTAAACAATGGACAGCTATCCTAGAAGATCCTGTACCATAAAAGGTCTTCTGGTGTTCTTCTTCCTCTCGCTGTCTGCCCTATATAACTGTTCGTACATCCACAGCAGTCATATTTGTAAACCACCCCCTTCGAATAGCTGTATAGGTGGGCATTTTTATGACATATTACATAGTCCAGGTATATAGTAAAAAGAAACTTGTCTATTTTATTTTGATTGTGTGTTCTACGTACGTGTATTTTATTTTATCTCTTATTTTTCTGCCTTCAGAATCAAATATCAATTGTCACATTCAACTGATGATGTCTTTTGAATAAAGACGAAACGTCTCTAACAGAAAATAGCTATATTTTTTCATTATGATAAATGTGGTTTATATCTTATTAACTTGGAACTGTTGCAAATACCGTTTGAATTAAGGTCAGTACTTAGATAGCGCAAAAGAATTGGTACCCGATACTATCAACATTATTGTTTTTGAGAACATAGTATTTTGACGATCAAAACAACATATTAGTCTTGAAATGGTGCAATTATCGGATAGTTTTGCAAAAAAAAGAACAAATATAACAAGATAGCGCAACAATCAGATTATTCAGTAAGTTCGCATTGTGAGGTTTCGAATACTATTCAAACTTTATTTATAGTTGCTGATTTAAATTAATAGGATCAATTATCAATACAATGAAGAACTGAAGTCTAAAACACACTATCAAATATTTTACTGTTTGCGTTATAGAGCACCGATCGTCGACATTGCTGATCCCAATCGTTAAAACTGGAGTAAAACGCTCTTATAGAGATTTCTGTCTATGGAACCGGTAAGAACAAAAAAATATGTCAAAAATATATATATGAGAAAATAAAATATAGAAAAGGCATTTTTGATATCTCAAAATAATTGTATAGGTTATTTTCACATGAGAGACTATTCATATTTTTTGGTGAGCCACGTAATCTTGTAGTAGCGAACAAATATCAGCATCAAATTTAAAACACTATTAAACGAAAAGAGAAATGTATGCAGCTTTTAGAATATTCAATGTTTGCATTTAGAATTTACCTGTCTATAATATTTCAATGCTTGTTTTGAATCAGGTTTGATACCATTGCCCAATTCATAGCACCTTCCAAGAACAAATGCTGACAAAGCAATTCCCTTCTTGATATATTGTGGTAAACAGCATGTTGCACGAGATAGCTCTTCAACATTATCCAGGCATATTAATCTGAAAAATCAGTTTTGAATACAATTTCAACTGATGCAAACTTTTCTTCAACTTACTTCTGTGCTAAATCTGTTGCTTTTGTATATAGTTTTTTAGTATAATAACAGTACGTTAGTAAACCCATAGCATAAACGTTGCCTCGTTCCGCTGCATCTCGTAAATAATTAACAGCACGATCTAAACTCTGTTTTGTTCCAAGGCCAAATAAATACATTGAACCAACAGCACCTATAATTATGAGAAAAAAAATTTAATGTATACAGAAAAATCTTTACGTACAACTTACCTAAACTTTCAAGACTGCCTTTTTTTGCTGCTTTATAATGCCATTCAAATGCTTTTGTCATATTATAAAAATTAGAATATTTTCTTGAATAAAAAAAGGCCAAAGCTGTCATTGCTTCCATTAGTGCTTGATTTTTGTCATCCGAAGCAGCTAAAAGCCACCAGCTAGAAACAATCATATTTGTCATACTTTAAACCGTTATAATAGTTCAATACCTTTCAGCTTTTTCTTCTGCTTGTTGAACACCATATCCCTGAAAAAAGGCTTTGAAAGAGAAAAATGATATTATAAAACTCTTGAAAGAGATATAAGCCAACCTTTGCCGACATGAAATTGTGCGTATGGGACAACAAAACTGAATTGATCATTCTCTGTTAATGCTATTTTCAGCATCATCTGATACGCGTCCTCCTTAAATAAAATGACGTCTCATATTTATATTACGATTTGAGAACCGTAAAAAAGCTTGAACTAACTGGTTTACACTCTGGTGGTGAAACTTCCTCAAAACACATCACGGCCAGTTGATAAAGAGCTCGTAGATCTACGTCTTTAATTTGACTGTACCATTGCCAAGCTTTCAGATATTGTATCTACGAGATGAATAGATTTTCTTGATTTTGTCATTTATTCATTGATGTTTACTTACCGTATCGTAATAAAATTGCGCTACCAAAAAATGGGCTTCGCGTGCTCGACATTTACATTTTGTTGGCTCAAATATATTGCCCGTGTTACATTCACATTTCGCTAATGATAATAATTCATCTTCGACTTGTTGACTTTTTCCGTTTTGGCGCAATAGTTCGATAGTGTTATCTCGCTAAAATAGTGAATAGTATGTATATTTGAAAATTGCGAATAAATGCTGTAATATTCTTATGTCAGTCCTCCGATAAACAATAAGATGGCGACTTACAAGAATCAAACGTTCAATCATAAAGTCTCGTGCCCCTAATGATGAGGGAATATTTGTAGCAAGTTGTTCTTCTATATACGACATGGTTCTGTTTAAAGTCTTCTTTTGTTGTTAGGAAAAAAATGACACCACTTTACGATTTATAAAGTCAACGACTAAGGAATGACAACACGGACAATTGAGCTAAAAGGAAAAACGGTCAAAAGTCATCTTTTTTGTTATAAGCTGAGAAAGTCCAGTAGTAAACTGTGGATGTACACTTTGCTCAAAATTCTTTTTAGAAATACTGCTTAAAGATACCAAAGGCGAATTCGAAATTCCACTAAAAGTAGCTAACTATATAGCCACTTAATCGCCACTCTAGTGGAACTTCTTGTACCTAAGACCTTGTGAACAGCACCAAGATGTTTCAAGACCGTGGTCTCACAGGCAAAAAATCTTGAAATAAGGTGCTCGTTAGTACTTGAAAGATTTCTTAAGTTTCATCTCAATTACTTCCAAATCTTATGCAGATTTATGGACGTCTAATAAAATCTTTGGATCATCTTAGAGTACAAGACTGTTGACAGTTGTTGTTACAATATCTGTCTTAAAAAATACTTGATCAAGATTTGTAACTGTTTCTGACGGGTTAATTATTTAGTCAGAATCTCGACAGATTTTCGATATTTGCATAAGATCTTGATGAAATCTTGAATAGTTTTTTGGGTTTGTTAAAAATATTATTTTCAGTTAGTTTTTATTTTTATCTGCTGTATTTTATAGCGCTAGCTCTACAATGCTGTACTGTACCAAGAGTACTTGCAAAATTTACAGCTGTATATAAAATTTACAGCAACCGTGCAGGCAATGCCGGAGTTGTTCAGTCAAACGTTATTTCCATGCAACGCGCTTGATAATTTTTCATTATTTTCAGTGTGAATGATGCGTGTATATATATGAGCACTGCAAAACAAAAAAGGTGGCAGAGAGGAGAACACGTTTTCAAAAGCTTGATACAGAATTCTCAAGAAACAGAATCGTTAAAGAACTTGTTCAGATTTTCAATTTCTACAGGACGTGAGTTTATCGAAATTTCTCTAATTTGTTATCAAGATCTTCATTCAACATTTTATCTGAAAAAATTCAAGAGTCAAGGTCTTGATTCAAGAAGTTCCCCAAGGATAGTCACCTGTTTTTAGGTAGCCTACCCTTTCTTTGCTATTCTACTGATTTATTTGATGACTGAACGGATCGACAGTTCTACAGTTCAGTGATCGATACATTACGCTGACGATTGCTATAACGATATCCTCTTTACTGTACTAATATTAACTACTAACCTTTTACTCGATGACTTTCACAAACAACAGAGCATGGTAAAAGTTACATGTTAGTTGTAGTACCTAATGGACTAACGTGGTCCTCGTCTGTTAATAGCGCTACAGTCAATCCAATCGGCAGGTTCGAATAAGCAATTGATTTGAGGACAAGAAATTGAGAAGTAAATGTAGCGGTCTGGAGAAAGAAGAATAATCGAGCAAATATCTGACGATGAAGCTGCGAATACTGTTTTCTTCTATAAGTAGAGTCTGCTACTCTACTTCTAAAGTAGAAGCTTTTTTATGACAGGTTTTTCTTTTTATTCGCTTGTGTAAATACATTTTTTATCAATAAAGCAAAAAGAACAACGAAAGCAAAATCATTTTATTTTGAGGTCTAGAAAAGCCTGCAATACTCATATTTGGTGGTAGACAAAGTTTTTCCCTCATCAGTTATCACCAAAAATAATTCTGAAATGTTAGATAAATTAGCCGATAATGATATGAATGCTTATATGTAAGCTTTTGATTCGATCACTGTTTGCAAAGAGATTTGTTTTTACATCTTTTTCTTGAACAGATCGGTTTTCTGACAAAGTATTTACAGTACAGTCTTATCGTCATTCCAGCTAACATGCACCGAGAGAGTCCCACTGTAGTATTATTTATTGATTTTAAATTTGGCTTCAATTCGATCTGGACAAAAGGATTTTTACTTAAATTTCGTCATTCTACGGCACCAGTGCCATTGCACTCATAATCATTATATAACACGTTGATAAAAAATAACATCAAAATTTTTAATAAAAAGCAGCATGAAAATGAAATGTGCTTTCTGACTACTCTAAATTGTGACTGTTTTTTGTAATAGACGCTTTATTTTAGACACAAACCGGATGTTTTGCTTAATAATAATTTTTAATGAAACAAATGAGAAATATTCTTAATGAAAGAAAGAGTGCTGTCTTATTTCCACTTGATGGCTAGACAGAAGAAAATCCAGAAAAAGTTTCTTTTTTGACAAACAGGTACATCATTTTGTAATGTGATCAATTTATGATGATATACAGATGGTGATCAAGTATGTTCAATAGTTACACGACGAATAATTGCCCTTTATGATTATTCAAAAAGAAAATGATGTATACATATATTAAAAAAACATTACAAATTAACTGTATATCTCACGCTGTGAGTCAATTGAAGAACAAAAAAGAAAGATAAAAAATTCTTTATGACCATAAAACACCAGGGAAGTACTCGTAATTAGCATCATCCATGCAGAGAGAACAACAAAACAATTGAAAAATTTTGTGTTGATTTTTTCTTAAGAAATTTTTTGATATGTACAAATGAACAACATACTTCTTACAAGGAATAGATGCAACAACCATCTTAGCGCTTCTTTCATCTCTTATTCAACTAAGCTAGACAGAAGATATTCTATACACTTGTCGAGCTTATAGAAAAGTATGAACATATTTTTACTCTCATATATAACAAACTAAAGATTCACTAATTTATTTAACTAACTTTTCTATCCTGAACGTTTGCATTATTTTCTATTAATTATTAGTCCAAATACATCTTCGCTGATATTTGCCCATTTCTCTTCAACTTTTTAAATAGTTTCTCAAGTATGGTGTAAAAAATCAATAATTAGTAAGAATAAGACAAAATTTTAAGTAAACCTATGGCAACAATATTGTACATCAAACAGGGTTTATATTAGATCAATGTCATATGTAATTACAGTTTATATGGAAGAAGTTTATATTCTGTATGAACTTCAAATGAAGAAGCGTATATGAAAATTGGATAGTCTATATCATCAATGTATAATGATATGACTAACAATATCAGCATCAAAATGAGAGATAGACCACAGTACGTAATATCATATCATTTATATCGTTTTTGTTTTAACGAGAAAATATGTACATGTTTCTGTATGTTGTTGGTACAGACAAATTAGAGAAAGAAAGATGATGTTGATGATGACAATGATTGTACAAATGAACATAGAACAATAGAGAGAATAATACTCCCTTTTATTTATGATCTATCAAGTGAAAGACGTTCCACTACGATCGATCGTTGTTAAATAATGTATAAACACATACATAGACTAATTCTCTCTCTTTCTCTCTCAAATAGATATGTGTGATCATCAGATAGACAGAACTTTTCTCATACAATCATTATCCATGTCAATTTTAAATTTGGTGCAAAATGGTATGGTTCAAAAGTTTTTTTTTTATTTATTAAGATACAATGAAAAATATTGAACAGACAAATATCTTTTTTGATATCTAGGAGGAGAAATGTGAATGCTGCTAATTAATAGATTACTATTCTGTTCTCATCAATTTGAATGCTTGAGGGCTCTGACAACTAGTGTATTGTGAAGAAATCTCTCAAATAAATAAGACACTTGTAAACGATATCTATTTGTTAATTAATATTAATGAATCGTTAGAATTGCGATTTGCAGAACGTTGTTGTTTTTTTCTATTGCAATAATTATTACCATTAAATCGTTCATCATTATGTTTGATGTATCAGAAGAAAAAAAAACTCATTAGACCTATCTCTATCGATGAGTAAATGATTAATAATAAAACAAAAACTAAATACCGTCTATGTCACTTGAAAAGTGATGAAAAGATATTTGATGTCTTTTAAAAGAAAATTTATTCATCGGGTTAAAAAGAGTGAGATTCATCTGTAAAGCCATCAAGTTAAATAAATGATCGAATAAAACTTTTCCTTTTTTTTAAAATTGTCATGCAACAACGGTCTCGTTTGAAGAGTTAAAGACGCTTTTGTATATTCACTATCGTCATCAAAATATATTTAGCGGCTGCACGAACACCGTATAATTCTATTAAATTATACGAAATACTAAAATAGTTTTATTATTCAGATGAGACTTTTCTATTTAAAAAGAAAGCATATTATATATATATATATATATCTAACTGTGAATATTTAGAGAAAGCGGTTTTCTTTTTCTCTTTATGGCTTATATAATGATTAGTAATCGCATTGTTCTGTCGTTTTCTATTTGTTATATTTATTACTCTAGTTTATTATGTTCTTTCGCTCTTATTCTAATACACATCTACAATATCCTTGATTAAACAATAGTACAATAGACAGTAAAATGATAAAATTGAATGGTGGTACAACAGAGGAATAAAAAAAAAAAAAAAAGAGTAGAAAGAGAATAAGGTGGATTATAAGATGTTAAGTGACAACATCCACTGACCATTGATTGACTTGGCACGATTTTCATTCATAAAAATGGACTTTTTAAACTAGTATTAGAGAAAAGAATGCATAAAATTTTATATAGATCTGATAGAAAAACTTTTCGAAATAATTTCTGAACTATATAGGACACTTGATGAAAATGTTTTTTTAATCGAAACTAATTTCTTCTGTTTCTTCAAACATATGACTCTCTCATTCTTACAAATTTTTTATTATCTTTATTTCAACTGAAATTAAATGAAGTTTTATCTGAACTAATTGAACTAACCGGAAATATTACTTATAACTACTTTTTAATTCGAAATATGATTTAAACATAATTTTAATAAATTCTATTTTTTAAATTTTTTATAACGTAGATAATGTTAACACTATTATCTCTTGCGTGTTTGTCTATAAAATTTCTTAAATTTGTAATGTACAGTTTTAAACAGTTCCTTAACTAAATCAACGTCGTGTCATCACATCACACTCAAATTACCTATGCGAAGAAAGTTTTGTTTCATTTTGTACAAAACAAGAGAGAAAAAGAAAGAAAGAAAGAAAGAAGAAATAACGAGAGAAAAGAAAAGAAGTGACAATAAACTGTTAGAAAAATATTTTGAGTAGGTTCATTCTTTGATAAGGACGATCAATAGGAGTATCATCATGATAAACTGTAAGTACATACTGTTTTTCGGAAAATATATCAACTAAGATCAAGTATTTTTAGAATTATTCTTCAATAGCTCTACTAGTGCTGCTGGTATTGATGATAGGGTTTTTTTTGACATTCTCATTTGTTATACACGATAATTTATGAGTAAGAGAGAGACAAAATAATTTATAATTAACTAGATAATTTTTTTTCGTCCTCCTTGTAGTTGTTGAGTAGTCAAACAATTCATCACTCATTCAACTGCAACCTGAAGAATGAGGCGTATCTTAATTAGGTAGCCGATCATTATCGTTTTCTCTTTTTTTTTAAAATGAACATGTCCGATTGATTAAAATAAAATAAAAATCAAGCTTATGATATTCAAAAATTGAGAGTGTCATCTTCTTGACTATGAAATAAGATCGAAAAATAAGACGTACATGTATTTTTTATCGGATTATAATTTTGAAAATTATCAAATAGAAAAAACCTTGACAATTTTGATGTCTTTCTTCTTTCGGAAATCTCAAGACTGATTACCATCTCTCAAGGATACATACTGTCTTATTAAGTTTATTCTCTATTCCGAATACGTCTCTGGTAATGATAAATATTCGTCAACCTTGATAAATTTCGTTTGTGAAGATAATAATCGTATGTATCGTTGTAAGAGATTTTTATTCTCAGTAGACAAATTTTATTTTTTGAAGCTATGAGGATGAGGGGGAAAGATCGAGATCTATACATGTTTATTGTTCGAAAAATTATTAATTGTTTCTTCTTTTTGTACTAGCAATGTATAATAGAAGATTAAGAGAATTTAAAGACTACTATAGGATCTAAATAAACTTTGTTCAAAACAGAAGATTTAATCCAAACTTAGACTATTTTATGTTCGTTCGACCGTTGTTAATCTGTGTCATGTCTTTCGTTCTTTCTTTTGAAAATTTTAAATTGTACCTGTGACAACATTTGAAATATACATACACACATAAAACAGTATTTCAAAAGGGAAGAACAACAGAAGTAATAAAACCTTTGTGTTCTAGTTTACCTCCGATGATGAATATTATTATTATTATATTATTTAATAACGCATAATAAAATTTTAATCCTTCTTATATTTTTATTTATAAACTATATTAAATACAGTAATGGATGGAAATATTCCATCATCCTTGATCTTATAAATCAAAATAGTTATTCATTTGAAATTATAGTCTCCAATATATCCTATTCTCAACCTTTTTATTACTAAAATGTAGATAAATTCAAAGGTAAGTATGATAAATGCGTTATCCGTAGAAACCGAAATGTGGCGATGACAGTCAGTTATTTATGGTATAAAGTTTTGTGTATTACTTCTGGCTCACGAAAGGATCTCGCGAAATGTCACATCACTTTTTCAGCCAAATCCAGTGGGTTATAGGTCATCAACTATGCTGAATCCGAATATCATAGTGGCAGCTGAGCAGGAGCCTTCAGAGAGCGGTTTTCTAGAAAAAACAGTTTTTCAGAAACTCTAAAAGGAACCAAAACTTTCTTAACGACACATGATTGTAGCCGGCAAATTTCTGATTAAAATGAGACATCTCCCAGCTCCACACGACCTTTCTTTGCAAAGTTATAGAGTTTACAAGAAAAGCCCTAAACTTTCATTGTCAGCTCAAAGCTACAGAAATAAGAAATTAATTTAAGACTTTCCTTGTAAATTTTATAACTTCGCAAAGAAAAAAGGTCGTGTGGAGCTGGCAGATGTCTCATTTTAACCAGAAATTTCCCGGCTACAATCATGTGTCATTAAGAAAGTTTTGGCTACTTTTTAGAGTTTCTGAAAAACGGTTTTTCCAGAAAATCGCTCTCTGAAGGCTCCTGTTCATCATATCTTACGATTTAGAGCCACTTCCCTAGACAGAATCCTACGCACTTCTGGTCTATTTCCCACTAGGATTTTACATGATCCTAACATTTAGAATCCGCCTAATAACTTCCTAGCGGGATTCTACCAGGATTTCGCTTAAGTTTGTTTAGGCTCCTAATAGAATCTAAGAAAATCCTATGACTTTCAGGTATATCTAATTTCATTAGGATTCTGTAGGACTTTGTTAGGACCCTAAGGAATTAAAGTGAAATCCTAGTAGGATAGTAATAGGATATGTCTCGGATCCTGTCAGGCAATTCAAAGGAATTTTACTAGGTTGTGACATATTGGATCTTTTTTCAAAAAGATTCATAACCCAGCTTTAAAACATTCTTTCAACTTGAAAATGCTCAAACAATGAAATTTGACTTTAAGCTGAGTAGTAATTGAACCTGAAATCTGACGCTAATCCGAAGGTATACAATATCAGGTGTTCAAACACACACATTTTGAAATCAGACAGTTAAACGTATAATAGGCTTCTAACAATTGCTATAAAATATATATTTATCCTGGCCACTTCAATACGGAAGGACTTGTGTCTATTTCTCACATAAAGTTTACAAATCAAACATTTAGACATCTACCACCCAATTCAAATATGAAGTCGAGTGGAAATTTTTACGGTGTAGTTCAAAATATATATAAAAGTCTCAATATTACGTTATTCCGTAGCTTGAAAGTCAGTTAAATTAAATTACTTATTTCAAAACAATTGCATCCACAAATTCAATTAATTATTGTTTCCTCTACATACATTAGAGATCTTTTTGTAGTGGAATGAACATCTTTACATTTCTTGTTGCTTTTTTTTCGTGTTCTGAACCCACACAGATTCCCAAAGATTTCGTTTTAGAGAAGAAATATTTTCTTGCTAGAAAACATTACTTTCAAAAATTAGTGACCAAAAAAAGCTTTTCCTATTCGAAAATTTTTACACACACCGCAACTTTCCTCTCCTTTCAAGCTTTGTAATCGAAAACACTACACATCTTCTATTAGTTTCAAGGCGCGTTCGAATTTCGCAACAGTTTAATGATATTTCAATCTACGCTAATCATCACAAATTTTTCTCGTCAAAAACATAGAATGTTTACAGATAGAAAGGAAAATTTCGTGTTTAATCTAAACTTCAGAGTATAATCTTATTTAAAAAAGTTGGCTTTCCCTGATGCGGGCGTCTTTGACACTTTAAATGTTGCAAGGTGTGTTTTGAAAAATTTTACTTAAGGTTGCCTGCCAGTATAGGGAGGGCATGGTGTTTGAATATCCGGATGCCAATGGAAGGGTTAATAAGAATAACTTATTTTTTATATGTGTTTTTAGATGAGACTCCTGTAATAATTTTAAGGATGTGCTGCTTATTAATTACCTCACACAAATTGCTTCTCATTTGAATTTAAATGATGTGGCAGTTGTTATTTGATGATCAACTGCAACAAAGAATTGAACAGCAACAACCACAACAACAACAACAATGATCTTATTTATCAAGTTTACCATGATAACGTCCTTATTACTATCAACTATATGGGTGACGACCGTCAAAAATGAGCAACAACAAAATTCTTCTATATTATCAAATGAAAATGTTGATGTAAAATCATCTTATTTGAAAGAAATTGTAACAATTAACATTGGTAAACGTGCTCGATTCGAATGTGAATTAACAAATTTAACAAATATGAAAGTAAGTAAATTTGATATTAATTGATAGTCTAATTCTCTTGATGTTGCCAATCATATTTAATTTATGATAATTTTTAATATATTTTTTTTAAAATGTCATTCAGAATCGTATTTAAATAAGTGTTTTATTTCATTTTTCTATGATATTTTAAATATAATTGCTCGTGACAACTAACTGTTATATTCACCTGTTCAATAGAGAAAATGTAAGAGTAAATTTATCCCTATAAATATCCTGTATATCATGCCATTTTAATTATAAAGGAACATTGAGACATTCAATTTTCTTTATCATTGTGTATGAGCGAAGAGCACAATCATTGTATCGTTTGAGAAAAAAAATCGAAATAAATAAAGCTGCTCATGGAAAAAAACTTAGTGCTACATTTGATAGAGCTATGTCGACTGTCTATGGAAATACTGTTTTCCCGACACTTCATGATATGTTTATGTGTTGTTCAGTTTTGAGGGAGAAATATTCCGAAAAATGTCGCTCTACATTTTCAAAGTAAAACTAAGTTTTCTGACGAACGAAAAAAGATCTTTGCTTGATTTTTTGGGATATTACTCTACTCCATAAGACTGAAAAATACACCAATTTTTGTTTAAAACAGATAAGGTTTTATTGAGTTATAGCAAGGACAAAATTTATAATGTCGCTCGACATTCAGTGCGAAAATCGATTTTTTTGATTTTGATTGGGCCTTTTCGGCTTACACAGTAAATGAAGCTAATTTCTTTTTTTGCCAGATTGTTATGCTTCCAATTCTCTATCTTATCCACTAAAAGGAATTTTTTAAAGGTTCATCCATACGGAACAGCAATGATTTTAATGTTGCTCTACAAAAAAATGTGAAGTGTCTTATCTAGTATTGATGACAATTTTCGTTCATAACAACTTAGTCTGAAACTAAAATAAATCACATATTCTGAAAGCTCTTGGCCAGTTCTACAATTCTGACTTAAAAATAATTGATTTAAAGACGGAAACTGACAGAAAAAAAAAGATTTCCTTTCTGCAGGCGGCGCTAAAATCCAGGTTTTTGAGACTGTGGCTGCAGTTTCTTTGAAACTAAAAGAGATAGAGCCTTGGTTTTTTCACAAGTGAATGACCAAACATAGACAAGTAGAACAAAAAAAAATTATCAAAATCGGTTTAGTGGAAGTTGATTTATAGGCGGTGCACTCTTTTGGATACAGCGGTACAATGATTGTGCTCTTCGCTCATATATGAAAGTTCCCAGCGATAATTATCCCAATCAGTTGCCTTATAATTATATATGACTCGCTGAGTTTCAAGAACAGGTTTCGAAGAACAGTTTATTTTGGCCTTAACGATTAAATGATCACATGTACTACATAATTGGGGTAGTAGACGTTCATGAATCAATTGTTCAAGTAAACTTGGAAGAGGTATCATTTTTGTAACACCACTTCTTATTTGCACATTATCTAATAATTCTTTTGGTTTAGGTGGAAAACTCTTTGATAACGGAAGAGCATATACACATCCCGCTATGAAACAACGAACTGATATGAGGAAACGTCATATATGATACCTATAACATAGAGAAACTATTCAGACGGGAATGTTCGATCTCACCGAGAAACTCAGACGCAGCCTGAGCAGTGTCTCTCAATTCCAATAAAAAAAATGAGTCTGCTTTCAAGTAGAGAAAAGCTTAATGCATTTACTTTCCGACACTGAACCTTCCGGAAGAATCATTCCTAGTGAGTTACTACACGTGTTTTGAAGGTTTTTGTTTAAAAATATATTTACAATGCCGCCCATATCAGGAAAAGATCATCTTCACTCCAATACTCTTTATTAATATTTGCGCAAATCAGTGAATTGAGCAGAAAACAACAATTTGTTAAACGAATAGGTTTCGGATGAAACGTGCTTCCAGAGCTATAATAAATACAGACAAGAAAAAAAAGACTTCGTTATAACATAAGCTAAATAGTTATCATATTGTGATTTGACAAGCTCTAATTACGACGTAGAAATTCTCTAGACAACGTCGCTAGTGCTGTACGTATTTATAAGCGCTATCTCTCAGTAATTATCTCGGAGATTTATCCTTAGAACCATTCGTAGCTAATATTTACCTATGAAAAATTAAAACAACTTTATTAACTTTGTCATCTTTCTTCCTTTTTGTTGCGTCATTTGTTCTCAACACTTCGTCATCTCTCGATACAAGTAACTCTTCAATATTTAATTCATTACTGCCCAAATGTACAATTGTCAATGCTTGAAATTCGTTTTTCTGCTGAATCGCTTCTATCGTTGACGAATATTGGGATGTTGTAATTAGGAAACTTGTTTGTGTTTCTCTCAGTAAATGTTCAATTGCTGCTTATGAATTTCCAATTGAAATTGGAAAAACGACGACATTTCTCAGTTTTAATAAGGCACACTGAAATAAAAGATATTCTACACTACTATTAGCCAGCAGACCAACTGTAATCGGTTGTTGTTGATTTTCAGTTGAAGGAGGTGAGGTTCATCACCATCATCGATCGGGCTTCTTAGGCTTTTCAGGCATAAAAGGCTCGGCAATTCGGTCCCAGGATGATTTATTTTCGGCGTACCGCATAATCTCGTTGACAGAGAGCGTGCCACGGCCACCAAATCGGGCTATGTGCCCGACCACCTGATCCATGTACGTGTGTGTTTGTCTCTTTGGCCGCTCGTCTTCAGTTGTTATTTTGAACTGGTAGAGCGCATAAATGTTTGCTGGTTCATCGGGTGGTTTGTATTGATTCTTTGGTTTCCAGCGCAAACAGTGTCCGACAAACTTGAGTTGACGGTGCTGGCTCTCCTCGCTTATTTCATGCTGTCTGGCTAGTTTGTATAAATCATAGTTGGTCATATGAGCTGCGGACTGTTTTATGTTTAGCGTGATTCTGTAACATGTTCTCTGAAAGACGTCTAGCTTGTTTTTAAGGTCTTTTGATAGGACCCATGTTTCGCATCCATGAAGTAGAATGGAGACAGAAGCTGCTTGAAATAGTCGCATTTTCATTGAAGTTGTTGTTTTCGGTGATGTGAGAATGGGTCTTAGCTTTGCGAATGCTGACCAGGCTAAAGCTATGCGTGTTTTGACGTCCTTTTCCGTTGAGCACATGTACGAGCCAAGATATTTGGATTCATTAACCACTTCAATATTTTGATTATCAACTGATAGGTTGTAGTCGCTTGCTGCTGGTGTCGGATAATAACCAGCTGGTAAGTTTAAGCGCAGTTGCTCTGTCTTCTTCACGTTTATTTCTAATCCAGTTTTTCTCACATTTGAGTTGAACTCATTTAACTGACTTTGCGAGTTAGCTGCGTCGTTTTCGAGTAGTGCGATGTCATCGGCGAAGGCTAGATCGTTTAACTTACGATCGATATTTGTTGTTTCTGATCGTAGGCTGCGATCTGTTTTCCGTGTGCTCTCGTGTGTCTTGAAACCGTATTCTTTAGCTGATAGTTTCGAGACGTAGTCTATCACTATGATGAACAGAAACGATGCGAGAACGTCGCCTTGCAAGACGCCTGTTGTCACTCTGAATGGATTGGATAGTTGGCCATCAACATAGACTCTACTCTCTGAATTGTCGTACAAAACTCAAATTGCGCTCACAATCTTTTCTGGAATGCTGTAGTGTCTTAAAATGGCAAACATCATCTCTCTATCAATCGAGTAGAAAGCTTTCTTAAAGTCGATGAAAGTAATGAAAAGCGGTATGTTTTCATTGTATGCTCCCTCCATTATTCTTCGCAGAATGTTGATTTGTTGTGTGCAGCTTCGACTTGTTCTAAAACCAGCTTGGTTTTTCCGCAAAATGCTGTCAATCGGCTTACTTATGCGGTTAAGGAGTACTAAATTGTACACTTTAGCTGCTATAGACATCAAACTTATGCCTCTGTAGTTGGTCATGAGCTGGAGATTGCCTTTCTTAGGTAGTGGTACGATAATGTTTGAAGTCTACTGGGTTGGAGCCTTGCATTCGTCGTATGCTAGTTGACAGATAGTGTGTAGTTGGTCGCCTATGAATTTGCCGCCTTCTTTTAATGTTTCTGCAGTCATTGCGTAGTCGAGGCCGGGCGCTATGTTCCTCTTTAGACTATTGATTGCTGTCTGGATCTCACTGCGCATTATCCTAGTAGTTGGGATCATAGGATTATTTGTTGTTGGTGATAGGTAGTCATTCGAGTTTGCTCTGAGGTTGGTGTTGTTGAGCAGGCTGGAGAAATATTTGGCCCATTCTCCTAGCATTTCGTTCTTATTACTCGGTATTTTTCCATCTAGATTGCGAACTGTGACCGGTTTCTTTGGTTGTTCAGACAGATAGCCTACAATTTGCCAGACTGTGCCATACTCTCGTCTTGTGGCCGCTAGATCGAGTTTATCGAGTTGGTGGTTTAGATCAGCTGTCTTGTCGTTTTCGTATGACTTGGATACTTGTTTCTGTAGCTGTATTCAGTTTGCTTTGTTAGCTGCTGATGGAGATTTCTTATGCTTAAGTTTAGCTTTCTCTTGTTTGTTTAGGAGTTCGAGTGTGGCGTTGCTGACCCATGCAGGTTGTTTCTTCTTTAAACGCTTGTCCCAATGAGAGAGGTGTTAAGTGCATTATATCTTACTTGAATCTCATCCGCTTTGCTACAGTTTAAAGCGAGTGATTCATCGAGTAATATGCAGGAGCGGTTTTTAAGTGAGGTGAGGTGAGGTGAGGTTACCCCCCTGTGAGCGTCGTTTAAGAGACGTCGGTTCTTCACGTGTAATGCAAAAGTTGAGCAAAATTGTTTTTTTGAACTTATTATATATCGTTCGCACAGTGGGCATTTTTTGCTAGAGCAGGCGGACTTTAGCTTTATGAGTGAACTAAATTTCATGAACCATTTTTTTATAGGTTTTTCATGATCCTCTTTCTAATGGCATGAGAGTTGGGAGAAACTAGATGAGTTATACACCATTCGATGCAGTTTTTTATGCTGATTCCGAATATGATATTATTTTTGAGTAAGAGTGATTA